GCTGAAAATTCCTGCAAGGAAACAATGTTTTCAAATAATAAGATGTTTATTTTTCAGAAGGACTTTCACAAAATGAGATTATGGTGAGTCTTGGCACAGTATTTTTCTTACCTTTGACTAGACTAACTCACCCAAATTAGAAGCAACATCACATGCTCTGCATGCCATTAATGCTATTCCATTCAGAAATACCAATTTCTCTACAGTCTATTTTTACTGGCTGAGACATTGTTTGGGGCAGACTAATTAAATTTAGTCTGACTTCAAAGTATACAAAGTGATATTATACATCATATAAATTTTCTTGCAGCTGCAGTTATAAAAAATTATATTAACTTTTAATATCCATGAATCATTTTATATGTCACTAGGGTTATATATCTTGTTTTGTGGCTGCTGTCTATTACTTTCTTCTTGGTTTTTTGGGGTGTGGAATGAACTGTATTCTCCATCTTACAGATTCCTAAACATTTTGGTGGAACTGTCAGATATAAACGTTATCTTGGGAATTAGAAACTCATGAAAGCAAAATATGTTTTACAAAATCTCTTTGCACACATTCAGACACTACTGATTGCAAGAAACCATTGGCTGTTGAACATGAGTCCTCAGTCAGATATTTTATGCCATTCAGTATTTTATTTCTGATCTATGGACTGCAAGAATTTCTGCTTGCTCATTTAATTTAAAATATATTTTGCCTTTATGTTTTTTTAGCTCCTTTCCTCCTCAGCTCTGCTTATTTCTAACTTTACATGACCTGGAGCATATGTTTTGCCCATTGAATGGTTTGATGCACATTTTTACTACTTATACGTTTGTGATTGTTGTTTCATACTTCATTGAATGGGTGAAATAGAATGAGGCCCTTCTTCTAGAATAAATAAATAAGATTGTAAAGACTCCTTAAAAACCACCTTATAATGAAAAGCAGAGTTGGATTAAATATCTGCCTATCATTTTAGATGCTTTGTAAATTCCATTGTTTGGGGAATGAGATGAAAAATCTGTGAAGTAAACTTTTTTTTCTCCCTCTCATTTTAAACGTCAATTAGAGTTTAATTACAATTTCATAATTGAAATGTATGTGCAGAATATGTACTTCAATAAATATTTTAATATTTATGCACATATAAATGTACCAATGTTTATTACTTCTTTAAACAGTCAGTTTGGTGTAGTGGTTAAGATGCTGTCCTAGAAACCAAGACTGTGTGAGTTGTAGGCCTTCCTTAGGCATGAAAGCCAGCTGGGTACCTTTAGGCCAGTCACACTATTTCAGTTCAACACATTTCATAGGGTTGTTGTGGAGAAAAATAGGAAGCAGGAGTGTTAGGTATGTTCATAACCTTGAGTTATGCATAAAACAAGTAGAATACAATAATTAATAATATTATTAATATAACTGACCTGGGAATACCAATGGACAGCAGAGTACAAGACAAAGAATTGGAGAAAACCACAAAGTATCAAGATTTTGAAAATCAGAATTGAAAGATTATGGCATAAATCAGCCATGGTGGTCCCAGTGGTTATCAGCACACTAGGTACCATACCAAAATTTTTTGAATGCCCCTTAGAAAATCTCTGCATAAAAATTTCCATTTGTCAATTACAAAAGGCCACACTGCTTGAATATGCACATATTTTATGCTGATACAACATCCTAGATCAGTGATGGCTAATCTTTTCTGGACCGAGTGCCCAAAATCCTAACCCTAACCCCCCAAAATGCAATGCGCACACGGCCCTGCACATGCGCCCCTCCCTTGCACATGTGCGCCCCTGCATGTGCCCTACCCCACCCCACGCATGCATGCACAGCCCCCCCACATGCCTCCCCACGTATGCGTGGCAGAGACCCGAAGACCAGCTGGCCGGTGGGAGACACGTGTGCATGCGCAACAGAGCTGAACTGGGGCAGCAGCTTGTGTGCCATCAGAGAGGGCGCTGCATGCCACCTCTGGCACACATGCCATAGGTTTGCCACCACGGTCCTAGATTCTTGGGAAGTACTCAATGTGTATGAAAGCCAACACCAGCTAAAGAACTGACAGCTGTGATTTCACATAATGTGATGTACATAATAATACATATATATATAGCACTTTGGGGCAAATGTTTTTTATTCCCCAAATATTTTACATTGACACATATCTCACAAAGGAATATTAACCTATTTACATTTATTTTGTTTTTCATTTCTAGATAAAGTGTACAAATATTCTTTATCCAAATATATGAAAAAATGGGAAACAATCATTCATCATGTAATTATGAAACTAAAATAATCTAACTGATAATCTTTATCTTTATGGAGTGGTTTTTGCTAGATTGTTCTGTTTGAAGAGTGTTAGAAAAAATATGCTTCAAAATTTCTACTAATTATTAATACTTGGATAAACATCAATTATTTTTCACTTGAATATGAGATGTCAAATTTAAAGAACGATATGCAAAATATTTGCTTCATTTTCAATGCTAATTCTTCTATAAAAACAAGAAAGTCCAGTTGCCTCCTGAAAAAGCACCTTTGGGACAATCATGACCTGGATGACTGAGAATCTCTACAGACTTTCTAGTATAAATATGCCGAACTTTACATATCTACGGTAAATAGTAAACTTACATTAGTAATGTAGTATCCAGAGGCAATAAACTTGCAATGTATCATTATACATATTGCAGAATTAGATAATAAGTTTTGACTATCCTAGTTGAAGGATTATGGAGGTCTTTTATAGTTATCCATTAAATCTAGGAAAAATAAACATAGAAATGCTACTAAAACAAACATAGAAACACTGCTAAGATGACACATTCAATTTGAATTTCAATATGAAAAATGATGCTTGATCCTTGATAGGACAAAAAGACAAGGCTCTTAGCAAAAAGTGTATGTTGGGGTTTAATAAAAGGTGTTCAATGAGAAGCTGGACAGCTATCTATGGACATACTGTAGCTGGATTTCCTGTATGAACTGAATTAGGTTGTTTTAAAGTCTCTAGCAAGTGGCTTGATTACAATTAACATATACATCCAATTTGTTTATGAGTATGATATAAGCCAAGGGGTTATACTCAAGGCCCGGGGGCCAGATCTGGCTGTGGGGTGCTTAGATCCGGCTTGCAGAGGGCCGCCCTGGAAAAAGCAAAGGATCGGCCCATGGTGCTTTTGCTAGTGAAAACGGAGCTTGTGAGGGCTGCGGGCAGCCCGCCCCCCGAGCTTCGTTTCCACTGGCAGAGGGTTGCAGGAGGCCATCGCAGCCAAAAATGGAGCTCGCAAGGGCCATGGGCAGCCCTTCGGAACTCGTTTTCACTGGCAGAGGGTTGCAGGAGGCCATCACCAGCCAAAAATGGAGCTCGCAAGGGCCATGGGCAGCCCTTCGGAACTCCGTTTTCACTGGCAGAGGGTTGCAGGTGGCCATCGCAGCCAAAAATGGAGCTCGCAAGGGCCATGGGTGGCCCTCTGGAGCTCTGTTTTCACTGGCAGAGGATTTCAGAAGGCCGCCGCAGTCGAAAACGGAGCTTGGGAGCCCATTTTCACTGGCAGAGTGCTCAGGCTGCCACAGGTTCCCAGACAGGAGTGACGTCAAGCTGGCCATGCCCACCCTGTCCACACCCACCCTGTGCCCCCTTGGTCAAACAGAACCCCGATGCAGCCCTCAATGAAATCGAGTTTGACACCTGTGATATAAGCTATTGCTTAAGTTTGGGCCTAGGATGCCCAAGAGAAGACACCTGCAAGATGTACACCCCTACTTTAGAACTTTTGGAGAGACCCATTCCTGATGGTAGCTGATTCTGCTGTTTGGGACTAACCTTTCTTTATGGCGGGATTGTGATAGAATAGTATTGAGCAACTACAGGCAGGTTCCCAAAAAGCAGAGCTTAGCCATTTTTCAGGTTGCCCATAGAACAGGTAACTGTCATAGAGATGCTGTTGCTCTATCATTTGTCACTCAAATTAGTTTTGTACATATGTATAGTGCTGTTCTGGAGGAATGCTACATTTGTTTCCAAACACATCTCATCTGACAGATCACATATATGGTGAACTGTGAAGAGCACTGGAGAACTCCCTCCACTTTCACCTAGGTCTCTCCTCTGTGCCTTACACCTTTGGAATTGGGTGGCTATGGCAAAATTGAATGAATGAATGAATGAATATATTCCCAGGTAAATAATTGCAATTGCAGCCTATGAGACCTGTTTGTGAAAGTGAGGACACAGCTATAATTTATTCGGATGTGTTGATCAATTTTTAAAATATCGAATTCTAAAAATGGGAAGGTGAAATAATCTGTTCTTTTGTGGTCTAGATTTAATAAGAAGCTTGAGTTGAATAAGTTTTAAATTGATATTGTATTTGTTTGATACATATATTTTTTTTCATCTCTTAATGCTGTTTTTTATCAATGCAACATATATGGTTTACTTTCATATATTACTGACATATTCACTCTTTTCTTATATTTCACTAATAAAATAAGATTAGTGAAAAAGTTAAAAACAAGACTCTTCATTTGATGACTCCCCAAAAGTCAAAGTTGTTCAGTTGGAAGAAAGTCCCATTTGTGATCACAAGAGTTGAGGGCATTCCTTAGAAGCCTTTCGGATCACAGCCTAATCCTTCGCGGGCAAGATTCCCTTACAACTCTTTAACCCTAAGCAGAAATCTGCACACACATTTGCAACGTTTAAAATAAATTCCCGACGGATTAAGACGCGTTCAAGCCCTACTGAGTTTAAATAGGTCAGTTGTGTAACAAAAAGACCGTCTTCATCTAATGCGTGCATTTGGAAGGTGGAAGCGACTACAGGTCGCGCTGGCTATTAAGGAAGGGCGCATTCATTCAGCGGCTTCGCTCAATAGTCCCGCTGAATGGCATTCCCTTCCACCAATCGCTCCAAGGAGAAAGTAGGCGGGTTGATTCATCAGCCGCTCCTGTGACGTAATAGCGCACGGCGGCAGATTTGAACTTATACGGCGCAAGCGCGCTCGATTCGTCCGTGGAGTGTTTTGGGGGTGAGCCTCTCTCCGGATATTCACTGACTCCGACATTGATTCCGAGGAAGGGTTTCCGCGCCGCTGCGATGAAGCGCACCGTGCCACGAAGCACTCTGAAGAACCTGATGAAGAAGCACAAGCCCCAGCTCCGTTTGGGCGGCAACACCGACTTACTGGTGAGTGGCAATGGGGAGGGAAGCTAGGAAGGAGGGAAGTGGCTGCTGTCTGCCCTAGTCTTGCGGAGCGCCTTTGCGGACCCGCGTCCTGCTCTGCGACGCCAGCGAGAGGGATAGGACGAATTTGGGAGGCGACCGTTCAGGGTCTTGCTTCCCACTCGGCAACTTTTAGGGAAACTCATTGGAAAACTGCATCCTGCCATTCCCATCCACTCATTTATGAGAGTGCCTTGTCTGAAACGTGGGAATTACAGCCCCCCCCTCTTCTTGTGGGTAGTTCCTTTTGTTTAAGCTTGGCGTGTAATGGCAACATAATTCTATGAATCATCTTTGTGCATTATAGCGATGGTAGCCTGGTAAGCAATACGTAACCTGGGTTTGCTTGTGTCATGTGTGCACATGTGTCGTGTGTGCACGATGGCAGAGGACTGAAGGAGAGCTCGATCCTCTGCAACCAATGTTTGAACATTGTAAACGTTGTCAGAAGCTTCTTTGGCTGTCGTTTGTCTCACCATGTAGGTCTATACATCCGAACTAGTTTGTGTTGTTTCTGTGTTGTGTTGTTAATATATCTGGGTATAATTTTGTCATGTTTATGTAGTGTATATTAGAGGTGGAGACCCTTTGAAAGCTGTATGCAACGAAATTTCATTTTAATGTATGCCAATTAGTGTACATTCAAAGTGACAAAATTATTCTAAGTAAGTTTTAAAAAGGCAAATCTGTGCCCCCCCTTCTCTCAAGTCCTCTCATGCTAATAAAGTTTCTTACAAGTTGTTGCTTTAGAACAAATAACTTAGATTTTTTTCTCTGTTCCGTTGACAAATCAGTTTACATGGGAAAACATATATTTTGATATTTCGGAAGGAAATTTTTGTAATGATTTTTTTTCTGGGTCATGCATAATATCATAACCTATGAGATGTTGCCACAACACAGGAGAAAGGGTTGAGTTTGCATTGTGACATAATTATTTTGGCGTCAATGTTTAGGAATGGACACTGATGTGTATTATCTATTTTGTTTTTTGCACAGCTCTAGTGATTACACTAACACTCTTCCACAAGCTTTGGGTAATCAAACTAATCACCACCTCTAGAGATCTGATAAATGTCTGACCACAAAAATGTAAACCATAGTTACTCAGTGCTCTAAGAGTTGTAAATCATCTGCAATCCAATAATCTTGAATGTGTTATATAGTTGCAAATGGGTTAAAAGCATGATAGACTATATCAGTGATGGCTAAACTTTTTGCCATCGCATGCCAAAAGTGGAGGAAGCGTGGGGGTGGGGGTGGGTCACGCGCATGCCCACACCCATAATTCTATGTGCCATGCGTGTGCGACCCCCCCACGCTTCTCCCGCTTTTGGCACATGATGGTCCAGTGGGCCCGGTAGGCCTGTTTTTTGCTCTCCCCAGGCTCCAGAGCCTCTCTAGGAGCCTGGGGAGGGCGAAAACAGCCTTCCCCACCCCCCTGGAGGCCCTCCGGAGACCGGAAATGGCCCATTTGCCGACTTCCGGTGGGACTGGAAGGCCCGTTTTTTGCTCTCCCCAGGCTCCAGAGTCTGCAAACGGGCCATTTTCGGCCTCCAGAGGGTGTCTGGGAGGGTGGGGAAGGCTGTTCTCCCCCTCCTCAGGCTCCTAGAGAGGCTCTGGAAAACGGCCTTCCCCAGGCCCTCCAGAGGCAGGGAACAGTCTGTTTCTCCACTTCCGGTGGACCCAGAGGGCCCGAAAATTATGCGCGCCGGAGCTGAGCTTGCGTGCCCACTGATATAGCTCCGCGTGCCACAGGTTCGCCATCATAGAACTATAATATATAGCTGACAGGTTGTACAAAGCTTGGTTCAGAAATTGTGCAGGGTTCCTATAAGTCAATGTGGAGTATAACATTGATTTATATCAGATATCAACTGAAATTATAGTAAGAAATATAGAAATTTAGAATATTGGGTTTTTTTAAAATAAAAATAACATCCTTACTGATGTAATAATATGATTCATTTATAGTGTAAACATCTTACATATTCTCAGAAGTAAATCCTATTGATTGCAGTGCTTTTATTTAAATGAAATCTTGTTGCTGATTCAATACTGCACAATATTGGGCATGTTTATGATTAGTAAAACAGATCAGCTGAAGAGTTTAACAAAATAGAAGGCATTCTGATTGGCTGCAATCTGATTTTTAAACAACAATTCACCAGATGTTTGGACTTTGCAGGAACAATGCCTCAACATTGTTCTCTAAAAGTCAAGTATATGCAATAAGCAGGTAATCCTTGATTTATGACCACAATTTAGCCCAAAATATTGGTTGCTAATCAAGGCAGTTAAGTGGTTTTTGCTCCATTTTCCAACCTTTCTTCCCACAGTTAAGTGAATTACTGCGGTTGTTAAGTTAGTAACATGTTTATTAAGTGAATCTGGCGTCTCCATTGACTTTGCTTGTCAGAACTCATAAAAAATGATCACATGACCCCGGGACACTGCAACCGTCATGAATACAGACCAGTTGCCAAGCATTCAAATTTTTATCATGTGACCACAGGCATGCTGCAAGAAAAACATTCATAAGTCACTTTTTTCATTGTGGTTGTAGCTTTGAATGATCACTAAATGAACAGCTGTAAGTCAAGTTCTATCCGTATGTATAGAGTTCACTCTTTAAAACATTTTTAATAGAATAACACGGTTGGGAGGAACCTTGGAGGTCTTCTTGGAGCTCAAGCAATAGACCTACACTATTTCAGATAAATGGTTGTCCAATCTCTTCTTTAAAACTTCCAGTGATGGAGTACCGACAACTTCTGAAGGCAAGCTGTTCTACTGATTAATTGTTCTGTCAGGAAATTTCTTATTTCTAGGTTGGTTCTCTCCTTGATCAGTTTCTATCCATTGCTTCTTGATCTGCCTTTAGGTGCTTTGGAGAATAGGTTGACACCCTCTTTGTGGCATCCACTTAGTGGATTAGCTAAATTAATACCTCTCAAAGTTCAGGACATGAGTGACAGTTACTCTGGAAAATTTGAAATTAGATGCCTCCATGTCTCAACCCCGATGCCTATATCTATTCCATATGTATAGATATGAATATATGATGTGTATGTGAATGAAAATACTGTACTGTTATGTATATCAGTAACTTTGAAACCAGGCTAAGAAAAGGAGATTGTTTATGAAATTTCTATGGCTGCCCATCTTAAATTATGACTTTGGGTGGCTAATAATTAAAAACCCAAAGTAAATTACATAAAAAAATATAATAATAAATTAAAAACAGCAAAAATTATCAATAACAAATAAAAAAGCAACCAAGAATAACATCCTACAACAAAAACACTAATAATCATAGTTAACACAACCAATAAACAGGCTCGTCCATTCCATCAGGGCCCCAGGCTTGATGATAAAACCTTTAAGATAAAATTACTGATGGTATCTACTGGATTGGCTCAGGATTATCCATAACTATTGTAAAATGCTGTTGTATGTTTACTTGAAAGGAAATGCTTCTTTATGACCCTTAAGTAACATTTTATCCTATTTTTCATCTATCTATCTATCTATCTATCTATCTATCTATCTATCTATCTATCTATCTATCTATCTATCTATTTATCTACCTACCTACCTACCTACCTACCTACCTACCCAACCACCCACCCACCCACCCACCCACGCATCAACCAACTAATTGAAAGCAGCAAACTTATCTAATACTCGTACTTGCTATTTTCCTCACAACAAAATGCTGCCAGGTTAGTTGGACTGAGGGTGAGTCTGGCCAAAAGTCACCAGCTGGCTTACATGCCTAAAGAACTCCTACAACTCAAATTCTCCTGGTTTTTAAACCAACATCCTAACTACTATTCCAAACTGGCTTTGTAGTAATTCTGAAAAAGAAATCCTGAAAAGAAAACAGTAAGAAACTCTACCTCTATTATTAGATTTGTATCTGATCTAAATCCCATTTTTTAGGTAGATTATTGGAAGAAAGAATTAATTGGGTGTAGGGCAGGGGTCAGCAATCCACTGCTCTGGAGCCGCATGTGGCTCTTTCATCCCTCTGCTGCGGCTCCCTGTCGCCAGTTGGCTCCACAATTGATAGGACTTTCAGTTAGGACAGGTAGAGGAAAAAGGACACCATTCTAGGAGGAGGCTCTATGGTGGGGGAACCGGACTTCCGGTCGGCAAAGGAAAAAGGATGCCACGCTAGGAGGAGACTCTATGGTGGGCGAACGGGACTTCCGGTTGGCTTCCTTCATGCCTAGAAAATTGTAGGGACTTACCTAGGTAATTATCAGGCATCAACATTAACCATAAGGTTTAAAAAATTGGAGAAAACAATAGGTATATTCAGGTTGTATAAAACTTCACGTCTAATTTTAGAGAGATATTTAAGAATATGCTTGAGCATAAATATATATCACTTGTCTGCAACTCTTTAAAGCAGATGCATCTTTTCCTTGGATCATGTGGCTGCCAGATGACATGATTCTGGGGAAAGAGTTGTAGACTGATTCATGCCTTTCCATGTCCAAGAATGTTTTTGAAACAGAATTTATTAATTCATTGTTTTCAAAAATTATCAGAAATGTGTATCTCTGCATTTGATTGGAAATGTTAATGTCACAGAAGTAAAAAAAAAATGAAATTAGACATAGATATATTGATAAATTCTATTTTAAGAACATTTTAATTAGAATCATTATAAATCATTTTATAAGCTAATATGCTGTAATGTATTTGAGATTTTTTGGAAGATTTTGAATTTTGTATTTTTCTTTAAAAGGTACATTTGAACTTCTTGTTGTTCCTGTTTCGGTTAGCAGAAGAAGCCAGGACCAAGGCTATTGAAGAAAAGAGTAAAATAATTAAATATGAACATGTTGTCTCTTCCGCAAAGGTAATCATAGTTAAATTCTTTCTTGAATCTTACTTTGCATACTATAATGTTAAAGCTGCATACAATTGTATTAAAGTCTAAGGAAGCATTCAGATAAGACTACCTTGTATAAAGAAGATTTTTGTTAAAACTTTATTATAGTGAGAAAAATAATCAGTTGTATAATTATTATAAAGTTATGTTAGAATATGTATGTTCAAATTAGGGTATCATTACTAAAACACAAATCAGCAAATTGGATTAAATGTAACTGCTTTTTACAGTAATTCTGTGTGCTAAAATATAATTAATACAGTAAAAGAAATATTCATCACAATGATATTTTAACTCCCACAGAAAGAACTTTGTGGTAATCTAAATGGAAGATTACTAAAGCATGGGCTACTGTGACCAGGCCATCCCTGCCCAAAAAGTTCAGGGCCGCTGAACTTTAGCCAGTGGCATTGCTGGCTAAAGACATGATCATGCCAGTGATGGCGAAGCCTTTAGACACCGAGTGATGGCGATCCCTTTAGACACCGAGTGCCCAACTGCACGCACGCGCATGCCCAAACAGACATCCATATGTCTTACTGAGTTTTGCCTTTTTGCCAATAACAGGACTCAAACACTTCTGTGGTACCTGCACTGCCTTACTTTAATAATGGGAAAATAAAGCTCTATAGTATCACCCAACCATAAGCCCCTGATGGCCTCACTTGATACCTTTGTATAGAATATAAATAAAGGTAATAAAATGCAGGATCCCATGACTGCTAAGCCAAGCCAAAGCCTGCTAAGGCCAAACCAGGAGGGAGCAGCAGAACTACTAAAGAACATCCTCTTACTTCATCCAAAATAATTGATTTAGCCAGACGGTATAAAAAGCTGCCATAAGGGTAAAGAAGATGCACACTCCTCCCTACCCCCAAAGCAAGTCATTTTAGCTTAGGCCAACCAAAGCAGTTTCACTGCCAAAATCAAACTTGAACTTTGAATGAATTGGATCAGGTAATCAGTATCTTCCAGGAACATATGAAACTAATCAGCCACTATCTTCTCCAGTAGGATATTTGCAGTAGAATAATATTCACAATAGTTACGGTTCTCTTTAGAAGACCTCACACACTCCCTGTTTCAAATGAATATGGAATGGAATATTTACCTAGAGGTAAATATTTACCTCACTCATTCCTACGTAAGTATTTTTTCTACTAGGTATTGATAAATCCTAAACTATTTGCACTGCTGATTAGAAATGAAAAGAAACATCAACTGATACAAAAGCCTTATTTATGTAGGTACAAGATCACTGTTTTACTAGAGTGACCATTATAATAATATACTGTGTAAATCACGGATGTCGAACCCAATCACGTCACATGACGTGACGTATCGCAACGTTTTTTGCCTTTGCGGAGCCAGGGTGGGTGTGGCCTGTGCATGATGCATCTGGTCTGCAGGCTGCCAGTTTGACACTTGGTTTGGAGGAAAGGCATTTGGAAACAAATGAAAACCATCTAAAGCATTTCATATTAAATAGATGACTAATTTTAAATGAAATATTAAGCGTTTGTATCTAAAGGATCTATACGTTTTTCTTTTCAGATAATTTTAAAGAAGAGTCGAGGCTAAAGGAAAGAGTTCTTAAATTCACTGACATTCACAGAGTCTTATACATAATGTAGTTTAGATATTTGTGTTTTGTATATATTTTTTGCATTAAATAATGTTTTAGAAATAAATCTCAATTAAATGTAGCTTTTGATGAAATTTAGTAAATGAGTTAGTAAGATCAACATCAGTGACTGAAATAGTTTAAATATTTATTATAAAATATTTCTTTTTTTTGTAATGATTATATAAGGTGCCTTATCTGAGATCTTTAAACATAACCTTAACTGATAGTCAATATGTATTCCCACAAATCTTTAAAAACCAAAATGTTATTATTCGGAGGATATTTTTAATGTGCAAATTGTCTACTGTTTATACCCTTTTAAACTCCTGATCCTAAATCACATTTTAAATAAATAATCTTTCAGCTAAGGAAATATTTGACTTTGTAGTCTTGTACTGGCAGACAGACTTTTAAAACACAAAATTGTAAATGAAATATAAAAATATTTCAAATATTACCATTTGTAGTAATAAGCTATTATAGACTGCATTCTTCTCATGTTATTTTTTTCATGTTTTTTGTTATTTGTTGGACGAAAAAAATAAAGTGATAAACAATCTTTGCCAGACCCAGTTTTAGTATTTCCTTGGATGGGACAGCAGTGATATATTTCTTTTCTTTTATTAAACAGCTACTGATGTTGACAATCATAAAGGAAATGAAAATCATGAAGCAGATTTATTCTTTTCAGTTTTCATTTTTAGTAGAAACGTCAGTTCTGTCATCTTAACTCTACATGCATAACGTATACAGGAAGAATATAACTCAAACCTTCAATTTGTATGTATGTATGTTTTTGGAATTTCTACACCATGACACCCTTCAGGCAGAAATAAATTCTTTTTGGAAAAGAAAGCCGCTCACTTTTAAAACATCCACATTATTTTGTACAACTTTATGTTTTAGTAAAAAGTATACCAAGTATTGGACCGAGTCCCATGTTATTTAAACAGGTGTTTTGTTTCATGATTCTATGATAAAATCTAATATGTTAATTCTGTAAATCAGTACTATGATCAATGCCTTTGATACAGACAACAATACAACCAGTGTAATTTTCATTTAATCAGTGCTCTTTTTAGAAATCTCATCTCTTTCAAAATGGCTGTTCCTTTTGCAACCATAAGATGGGGATAGAGTAAAGTATCCCATATATTTTCCCTTTTATATAGATTTCTGGTTCATTGAATCCGCCTCTGTTAAAGAATTATTATGTTACATTAAAGCGCTGTCATGAAGTATCTTATTGCTGACAGATGTAGGGTGATTAAGGATTTCATTTTAATTGCAGTTTTATATGAAGGAAGGGAACAGCTTCAGAACTTTCATGCCTCTTGTTAATGAGATCTGACAAGAGAGAAGTTAAATCTCTTTGTTTTGACAGCGTGCTGAATATATTCTGTTTTTCACACTAAGAAGTGTCATTTTCTAATCATCCAACATAATTAATCAACAGTGGCTGGTTAACACTTTAGAGGCTATTGTCAAGAAACAGTGTTTATATTAGTCAATATAGAAGTGTTTTTAATACAGAGAATACTTAACAAAAGCTACTAGATATAAGCACAGGTTATCAGTTGATTTAATAATCCTCACCCCCAAATAATTGTTATGGAGAAAGCTATGCAACATTTTTCCTTTGGCCAGATTTGGAAAATTTTGAAGTTTTATTGGAAATATGCAATGACAGTACACTTAATATCATAATTTATATATTAAAGCTTTAAATCATATCTATGTTTGAAGATTGTAATATCACATTTATTTTAAAACGCCAAATACATGTTTGAAGACTGGATAAGAATCTAGTCATGCTTGAATAGGTCTCTGTTTTATTCATTTGATCTGCCTTTATATTGTTCTACCTTGATTTCTGGAGATTTTAGTTTTGCATCTTCTGTAATTGTTGGCTGATATTCTCCCTGTTTTGCATATTCATATTTACAACAGCAGTTCTTCACATGATTAAAAATCATTAGTTAACTTCCTTCAGTTTTGGAATTCTGGTATTCTCTTGTACATCAAGGCAATTAGGCCACCTTAATTAGCAGTCTGGGCGGTGAGCTTTTTCTCATGCTTCTAGTGTAAGGTAGAAAGTCCTGGACCTTCCTATTTTAATAGTATCCTTGGACCTTCCTCTTTAAATAGTATCCTTGAACAATTGAAATAGTAGTTCCCCTGTTATTAGAACAAGGAGAAAAAGTTGTCATAGACATTTTTAGAGCTATGCATGTATTACTCTTGGCTGAAGGATGTGAATTTTTTTCTCTGCCAATGTTCAAAGCTAAGCACTAGGATTGTGTATTGTTTTGACATTGGAGTAAAACAAGCCAACATTTGATTTGACTGTGTTCTAAGGACCAAAGTTTTAAATGGGACTAGTGTACCTTCTGCTGCCAGAACAAAACTCAAAAGTGTTCTGGCAATAGCAAACAATGGGAGCTCCATTTGAATTTCTTGCTCCTTTGTTTTTAAGCCAAGGGCCATAAGCCTATTTGGAGTGACAGTCCATGTTAAGTGGTAGCAGTTACCTAAACTGCAGTGAAATTGGTTAAGGAGAGATTTTAAAGTTTGCAAACTTAAGAACTTTGGAAGTAATTGTTTATATAAATGTACTCATATGTTTTATATATTATTTGAGGGGCTTATGCTTGACAAAATCTAAATATATTCTTTGGCAATTTATTAGCTTAAAATTTAGGGTTATAAGAGTGAGATGGGCTAAGTTTGATAAATAAATAAATTTCCAGAATAAGGTAATAAATGCACTCGGTTTTCTTTCAAATCAACCCCTTGGCCAACTTGACTATAGGTAAGTCTATAATTGTGTCATAATGGATAATCTCTCCACTTAGCGATATTACTTTGCATGTTTTTCTTTGGGAAGTCAGATAATGATGCTTCCCAAAAGTGCCCACAGCTGCTCCTCTCACAGCACAAGGAAAAAATAAAGCAATTTCCCCCCCTGCTACTGCCTCAGCTATTGAAAACAGGAGAATAACCGTGGTGCATACATTCTTTACTCAACAAAACAACAAACAAGTCATTAAATACTTCGTAAGAGGGTGTCTTCTTCAGCTTGAAAGTTGAAATGTTTTACTTGTTTTGAACTTGAAGTGGTTTGCTCAGACTGTTTTCCCTTCTCTGTAGGGAATAAATCCAGTTGTTTCTGAGTCATTGTTCTGAGAATGGTTTTGTATGACCAAGATACTATCACCTCTTATAAAGGATAACATTAACTACTAATATCTTAAACTTATTCTAAATATGGTAACCTGATGGTTTCAATGTGTGTTCTAATTTATTTATGTATTAATCAAATTTATATAGCTGTCTATTTCACAGAATACTGGTGGCGTTAGTATACATATATTTTCCTCACCAAAAGGCCAGAATGGAATGTTAACATTAACCAGCATTTTATATCTAACTTAAATATTGAAATATTTGATATTTTTGTTATGCATTTATCCTATTCTTCAAATTTTAAATTAAATTGCATCTATCTTTATTTGTAGAACTGGGAAATCAAACAACATATATACATTAATAAAGTAGTCCTCTTTTTAAACATTTTAGTAAAAAAAAAAGGTACATAAAAAGTAAACAGCTGCCTGTCAGGAAAGTTCTATGAATTAATCAGATTTATATTTGAAGGATCAATGTTGGATGGGCTTGAGATATAATTTCACATAGTGATTTTTTCCCCCTGGTCCTGTAAGCCAGTAAATAGACTTATTGTTGTGCTTGAATGCTTAACCTATTTGAAAATGTTAATGGTGTCAATTATTTTGAACAAAATCTAATCTTAGGCTACGTGTTTGTGTTTTTTTCTTGACAGTTCAGATAAGTGTGTTGCATAGATTACAAATACTGGCTTTTGAAGACTAAAGCAAAACTTTATTTTTCTTATCTCTATTGTATGAAGTAGAACATTTTTATGAACTTTTGCAAAGTCAAAACATTAAACACTGGGGAGGATATCCTATGGTTTATAGTGTTAAGAGAATTACCTCACCAGCTTGAAAGCTCAATAACAAGAAAGTAAGCCTTTAGAATCTTACAGTTGATGGACAAAAAGCAATATAACATAGTTCTGGTGTTTAATTGCTTATTTTCATTACAAAAGTGTAAAAGTGCTCATTTTATATTCCTGAAATCATAGTTTATTTTTAGTTGGTTAAAAAAAAAAGTGTTACTCCATGGTGGAATATAGATAATTGAACAGTAGAATATATTACCAACCATCACTACCACCACTTTTTAAAATTATGAACATGCAAACAAAATATCTCAAATATAACCCTGACGTACATGTGTGTGTGTACATATATATATGCTTTTGGCCTTTCCACACTCATTAAAAATTACATTTAAGTTTAAAGCCATTCCGCCCTCATTAACAATGTCTGATTTAAAAGTACTGATAAAGGAGAAAGAAATACCTGTATTTTTGGAGGGGTTCAGCAAGCAATTTACTGAAAAAATAAGCACTTCTAATCTAAAAAATTGGGGGGGGGGTTGAAATAAAGGTTGGGAAGCAAACACTGAGGGCTTTTTTGGCCTCCCATACTTTTGCTTTTCCATTCTGCTTTTAAGTTTGCATTGTTGGGAAAAATCCTGCAATTTCAGCTCTTTGCTGCAGTTGTGGGACAAAATGCTCTTAATCTGCCTTTGGAGTTTGGAAATGTTGACCTACTATTGCTCAACTATTAGTAGCCTCATTTTATTTAGTTAAAACGTTGGTGTTCATTTTTCAATTAGTGGAACTTCCGGAATGTTTTACAGTCTCATCAGACTATAAACAATCCTTTTTAAAAGTTGATAGTGAAGATACTCTGTGACTACCTCTCAGCCTATTAATAGTTGATTGTATCTGATTCTGTGATGATCTGGGGTATATCTGATTCTGTGATGATTGGACTGACCTGTCCATATGGAAAAGACAATTACCTGTGATGCCAGGTTAAGTAGGGTCCACATTTTGAATGAAGATTTTTTTTTCCCCTGAGGGCAGTTTGCCTCAGTGCCAATCTAAAGCTGCTACTGGTTGAGGATAAGGAGGCCAATTCCAGTGAAAAAATACTTGACTTTCAATTGTAAAGCTTTAAGTGGGAGGAGTACTGTGTTGGCTTGGCCTTTTAAAATTCTCGTTTTGGGACATGTACCAGAGAGAGTGAGAGATTTGAGCCCTCCCAAATTGGATGTTTTGCCATTATGGATTTCTTACTTAAATATTGAATTCCATTGAGCCCAAGCATGTTTCCAAATTGTGACTTTGTTCCTACTGGTAAAATTGAACTTTACAAAGTTAGGTTACAGTTAAGTTACTAAATCAAATGATAAATTTTATTGGGAAAAAATGCAGTATAAATACAGGTAATGTTAGGCTGAAGTGCTGCATGCTTTTCATTATGAATAATAGTTAATTTGGAAGCAAAATCTGTAGAGAAATTTATCACAGATTTTCTTGTAAGTATAAATTGGACATGTGCACCCAACTTCAATCTGATTGTGGCAATACAGTAGGTTTAGTTTATCCATACAACAGTACTTAAAA